TGGAGGTTGCTGTGAGCTGTAATGCCACGGCACTCTGCCCAGGGGGACAGCTTGAGGCTCTGTCTCAAAAAAAAAAAAAAAAAAAGAAAGTGGATTCTCTACTACTCAAGATAACTGCAGCCCCAACTGACCTTCTGATACAGCTTTGGGAAAGACTCTGATCCAGTGGCATCCACAGAAACCATGACATAACCATTTGTATCTTTTTTGTCTTAGAGACCAGGTCTTGGTCTGTTGCCCAGCAGGCTGGAGTACAGTGGCACAACCATAGCTCACTGTAGCCTCATATGCCTGGGCTCAACTGATCCTCCCATCTCACCCTCCCCAGTAGCTAGGACTACAGGTGTGTGCCACCACACCCAGATAACTTAAAAAATAATTTTTTTTTAAGACAGACTCTCACTTTGTTGCACTTGGTAGAGTGCCATGGCATCATAGCTCATAGCAACCTCAAACTTTTGGGCTCAAGCAATTCTCTTGCCTCAGCCTCCCAAGTAGCTGGGACTATAGGTGCTCACCAGAGTGCCTGGCTATTTTTAGAGATGGGGTCTTGCTCTGGCTCAGGCTGGTCTCCCACCTGTGAGCTCAAGCAATCCACTTGCCTTGGCCTCCCAGAGTGCTAGGATTACAGGTATGAGCCACCATGGCTGGCCCATTTTAAAAATTTTTTATAGAGACCAAGTCTTACTATGTTTCCCAGGCTGGTCTTGAACTCTGAACTCAAGTGGTCCTCCAGCCTTACCTTTCCAAAGTGTTAGGATTATAAGCATAGGCCAATGTCCCAGTCCAGTGTTTGACTTTTTAAGCTGCTAAACTTGAGTAACTATTTGTTATGCAGCAAAAAATAATTAATCACTTCCCATTACACTTAAAAAATAAACCCACACTCCTTCTCATGGCCTGCAAAGGCCCCTCCTTCCCTCTTAAACATCATTTCATGCCCTTTCCCTCTTCCTCAGTACACACCAGCAGCCATACACTGACCTTGTTCTGTATCCATCTGGAGCTGCGCTAGCCAATGCAGTAGCCACTAGCCACGTGTGACAATTTAAATTAATTAGATACAATCAAAATTCAGTTCCTCAGTTACGCTGGCCATATTTCAAGTACTCAACAGCAACATGTAGCTAGTGGCTACTGTATTGGACAACACAAGAGAACTCTTCCACCAACACAAGAGAAGTCTTCCACCATCACAGAAGAGGATGTGGATGGCACCGGAATAGAGGAAGGAATGGCTTCTACTTGTATAAAGATGCCATTGTGTTAGCCTGAGTGACTGGAGGGACAATGGAGCCAACAGCCAAAGTGTGAAGGATGGAGGCCTGGGTACTTTCTGATGCCCCAAACTTCTCTTTGAACATGCAGTTTTATAACCTCTTAGAATCTATGCCCCAAGTCTTTGCTAAAGAGGAATGAGGTTTATGTTTGTGTGTGTCTCTGTAGCTGAACTTGATGGTTCTCATCCCATTTGCCCACAGCCCAGCTGTAGAAAGAAGCCAGGGAAAGGAGAAGGTGCCCTTTCACTCTTGTCTAGTTGACAGAAGACACCCAGATGTGTGAGGAGAACTGAGGTAGGTGTGCAGAAATTGCTGAGAAGAGTAGGAAAGTTTCTTCGTAACCTTCTATGGATGAGCTCCACCTACATGCCATCTCTGCCTTTTCACAGACATTCCCATTTAAAAACCTCAACAAGTGAACCAGACAGTGTAAGGGAGAGGGGTGGCAATTAATAGCCATCACCACACTGGGGGTTGAGGCTGAGATTGGAAGGTTCCCTGACTCAAGTCCAGTGCTTCTCTACCCTGCTCCTAAGTTCATTTTTTCTGTCCTTTAAGCTACTACTGTCTTACACAGCTGATCATGAGGGATTTATTTTGTTTTAGGAATTTCCTGGTATTAATGTGTGAACGCTTGCATCAATTAGGACTTTGGGTTATAACTAAAATTGGCTTGGGCAAACAAGGGAATTTATTAGTGCAAGTAACTGAAAAGTATTGGTGGTGGTTCTGACTTCAAGTATCTCTGGATCCTGGATCTCAAATGGTATCATTCAAAATCTCTCTCATACACTGGCTTGCTTTCAAACTGTGTTATCTTTGTTATTAGGCAGATTCTCCCTCTGAGATGTTGAAGATGAAGCAGCTCCAGGCTCATTTGTTAGGAATGTGGCAACATTTGTGGAAAGAGAAAGCTTTAGACACAGTGGGTCACACCTATAATCCCAACAATTTGGAAAATTGAGGTGGGAGGATCCCTTGAGGCCAGAACTTCAAAACCAGGCTGGGCCAGCCTGAGTAAGAGTGAGACTCCATCTCTTTAAAAAAAAAAAAAATGGCTGGGTGTTGTGGCAGCTACTTGGGAGGCCGAGGCAAGAGGATCATTTGAGCCCAAGAGTTTGAGGTTGCTGTGATCTATGATGCCAAGGCACTCTACCAGGGGCAAGAAAGTGAGATTCTGTCTCAAAAAAAAAAAAAAAAAGACCAGCCTGGGCAACATATATTTAAGACCCTGTCTCTACAAAAAATAGTTAAACACCTGTCTCTAAAAGAGAGAAAGCCTCTAGCTTGATATGCCAGGAAAAATCCCAGGGCTGCCTCTCATTGGTTTGATTTGGGTCATGTTCATTTTGCACCAATCACTGAGGACAGAGAGAGATGATGTTCTGATAGGCCAGGTCTGGACCATATGCCCACTCCTTCCGCAGCCAAGGGATAGGGTACGCTTTATTTTGTGAATATTGGTGGATGGAGGGGATAGGTGATTCCCCAAAGAAAACACTGAAAGCCCCTATTAGAAGAAGGGAGAATGAATCCTAAACAGGGGAAATGATAGCCATCCATCACAGCCTCTCAAATTATATTCTACAGCAATATAAAAATTCAATTCCTTGAATTTTCTGGAAGTAAAAGAAAGGCAGTAGGAATTGAGAGAAGTGGACAAATTTGAGAAATATTTGGGCAGTGGAATGAACAGAATTGGATGGCTAATTAGGCTGGAAGCCATGAGGAAGAGAGTGTTCTTAGCTGCAAGCAACAGAAGATGACTCTAGCTACATAAGCAAAAGGTAATATATGTACGAGAATCCTCTCAGGGGTTCAGAGCATCAACTAGAAGAAATAGGCTTAAAGATGGGCAGGAATTAAGGGGCACAGAAGGATGAGGAAGCAGGAAGTATGGTGATATCCCTTAAGCATATGCTGTGGTTGTCCACCTAATATCCATGCCACTCCTCTTCCTTGTCTGCAGAGTCGCTTTCTGTTCTGGTGGCCACTTTACCTTACATACTTCTGACCTAGCTCCAGAGTTAATTGTCTAAGCCCCTTACCCTTGCCAGAGACAGGAATTGTCATGTCAGTTCTGGCCAATGAGCCATGAAGGGAAGTCTGCTTAGGATTTTTTAAGGAGGGTTTCTTTGTTCCTAAGAAGGAGCTAGTTGAAGAGAAGGTGCCTCCCCTTCACTTAAACACAAGTGAGTAAACTTATGTGATTTCTGGGAGCCATGGCAGCCATCCTGTGGCCATGTAGTCCTCCTGAAAGTTTGCATGCTGAGGACAAAAAGAGGAATAATTTGGGTTCTTGATGAAATTGTTTTGTTTTGTTTTGAGACAGAGTCTCACTTTGTCACCCTCAGTAGAGTACTGTGGTATCACAGCTCACAGCAACCTCCAACTCTTAGGTTTAAGCGATTTTCTTCCCTCAGCCTCCCAAGTAGCTGGGACTATAGGTGCCCACCACAACGCTCAGCTATGTTTAGGTACAAGGCCTCTCTCTTGCTCAGACTGGTCTCGAACCTGTGAGCTCAGGGCAATCCACCCACCTTGGCCTCCCAGAGTGCTAGGATTACAGGCATGAGCCACTGCACCCAGCCCATGATGAAATTGTTAAACCACTAAAAGCACTTTCTTGGAGGCCCTCTGCTGACCTCTTGTGACATGAAATAATGAATTTGAATTTTCTTACTATGTAAACTTTGTTTTTGGGAGGGGCACTCTGTTCAGGGCATAGGTGGTGCAATAGCAAACCTCCAACTTTTTTTTTTGCCATAGTTGTGTGGCGTGGTCAGGATTCAGAGTCCTGGGAGAGAACATTCAGTTGGCTGAGTTTACATCCTTCTGGCTATGCTATGGTAGAAAGAGGTTGATCTGGTCCATTAGGCTTCCATAGTGGGAAATGAATTCTGGAAAATACCTGTTCACCACACAACTAGGGAGTGGTGACCCACAAAAAAGAAACTGAGAGACTGAAGGAAGAAGGGGGGGATAAGTATTGAACATCCAAATGTTCAATGGACCTAATGCCTCATCTCACAATCCCTCCACCCTGTGCTTACCACATTCTTCATTTGACATGCCGCATTCAGGCTTCTGTGCAGTTGCATTACTCACTCTGCTTGCAAACCCCTAGGCATTAGGAAGACTTGTTCAAAAGGCCCCATCTATTCAGAAGGGGAGCTGGCTTCTCCCCAGGAGGAAGCAGCCAATACGGGACTGGCCCTAAGGCCAAGGTCTATATGCAGGTGCAATCAATAACTGATAAGAAGAGGCCAGGCAGTGGCTAATCCCTATAATCCTAGCACTCTAAGAAGCCGATGTGGATCCTGAGCTCACAAGTTTGAGGCCAGACTGAGCAAGAGCGAGACCCTGTCTCTACTAAAAAAAAAGAGAAAGAGAGAGAGAGGAAAGAAAAGAAAAGTAAGAAAAACTGGTGAGTACCTGTAGTCCCAGCTACTTTGGAGGCTGAGGCGGGAGGATCACTTGAGCCTAGGAGTTTGAGGCCACTAGGGATAATACAGCAAGACCCTGTCTCTTAAAAAAATAGAATTGACAAATGCTTTCACTTTAATGAGCTTATCTATATATCTCATAGCTTCAGTATCATCATTAAATTAACAGCTGTCATTATCAACATGTTGCCTTTGAAGCCAATGGTTGAAAAGGCACCCCTTCTCTTGCTGTCTTTCTGTTCCACAACCTCCTTCTTTTTTAGCAGAATTAATAAGTTGCTGTACTCTGTTTTCATTTTCCATAAATTTCTTTGTATCACTTTGTACTCCTTTGATTGAAAGTAACAGAATCTACTCAAATTGGTTTTATTGGTTCATATTACTGAGAAGTATTAAGGATACTTTTTTTTTTAGGATCCAGGCTTCCCCAGAGTCATGAGGAATCAATCTATCAATCTATTAGTTATCAAATATTATGTAACAATCATCTTAAAATTTATGGTTTACAACAATAATTAATGATTTCTCAGTTTTTGAGGGTCCGGAATTCAGGAAAAGCTTAGCTGGGTGGTTCTGGCATGAGGTCTCTCATGAGGTTGCAAGCCAGACGTCAGCTCGGAATGCAGTAATCACCTCTGAGGTGGCTCATTCACCTGGCTGCCAAATTGGTGCAGGTTGTCCCAGGAGGCTTTACTTTCTCCCCACAGGGCCTTTTTGCAGGACTGTTAGTTAGTAATCCAAGAGACCAACTCAGACACCTCAGGGCCTTTTATGGCCTGTAGAAAGACAAATGCCCTCACTTCTGCCATATTCTATTAGACGCACAAAACAGCTTTGACTCAGTGTGGAAGAGTCTACACAGGACATGAACACCAGCAGTGAGGATCAATGGAGACCATCCTGGAGGCTGCCTACCATGGCATCCTTCTGTCCTTCTTTCCATTTGCTCTGCTTTTCCTGTGTGTTGCCTTCATTCTCAGACAGGCCTTCCTCAAACAGTGACAAAGGACGGCACCTATGGCTCAAGGAGTAGGGCGCTAGCCCCATATGCCGGAGATGGCGGATTCAAACCCAGCCCCAGCCAAAAACTGCAACAACAACAACAAAAAACAAACAGTGACAAAGATAATCATCAACATCTCTGGGCCCACATTCTATGTGCTTAGTGAGTGACCCCAGTGGAAAGAGATTGGCCTATCTTGTGTATAATGCTAATCTCTGAGCCAGTTACTGAGGTCTAGTGGTGCCATGCTCTGATTGGTCAGAGCAATGCCATACCTCCAGCCCTAGAACTGAGGATACCTCAGGTAGCACTGGAGGCCCATGAAAAAAGTGAGGAAGGGGTGGTTCCTAAAATAAAAATCAAGGTCTCATTACTGAACCAGGACAAGTGCTCAGGAGGAAAAACAGCACATGTCTACTTCATCTTCCTCTTTTGTGCTCCAACTATGCACTTTAGTGCCCCTTGATTTAGCATTTTTGTTTTCTTGCCTTGACAGAATTCTAAGATGGCCCCCACATACCCTTCTCACAACTATTCAGTCAAAAACTAGTCTAGATGCTTCTGAAAGAATTTTGCAAATGTAATTAAGGTCCCAAATCATAAAGATAGGAAGATTATCCTTGGTGGGCCTGACTTAATCAGATAAGCCCTTAAAAGGAGAGGGTTCTTTCTCGCAAAGGTAATTCAAAGAGTGACAGAGTCAACACAGGGGAGATCATTTGTTGCTGGCTTTGAAGATGGAAGGGATCCTTTAGAATGCTGGCATCCTCTAGAAGCTGAGGGTGGCTGCTGACTGATAGCTTAAAAGTCTACATTACCAAGGAACTGAATTCTGCAAACAACCTGAATGAGGTTGGAAGGGAATCATTCCCCAGAGCTTTCAGAGATTTAGCCTGGAATCTCAGCTTTGATCTCAGCTTTGGAATATCCTGAGGAGGAGATCCAGTCACACAGTACCGGATTTTGGACCTACAGATTTGTGAACTGAGAAACAGGTGTTGTTGGCTGGGGGTCTGTAGCTCAGCAGCTAGGGCACTAGCTACATACACTGGAGTCGGCAGGTTCAAATCCAGCCTGGGCCTGCCAAACTACAATGATAAGTACAACCAAAAAAGTAGCCAGGCATGGGCAGTGCCTGTGGCTCAGTGAGTAGGGCGCCGACCCCATATACCTAGGGTGGTGGGGTCAAACCCAGCGCCAGCCAAACTGCAACAAAAAAATAGCCAGGCATCATGGTGGATGCCTGTAGTCCCAGCTACTTGGGAGACTGAGGCAAGAGAATCACCTAAGCCCAGGAGTTGAAGGTTGCTGTGAGCTGTGACACCACGGCATTCTACCGAGGGTGATAAAGTGAGACTCTGTCTCTAAAAAAAAAAAAAAAGTAGACGGGCATTGTGGCGCACTCCTCTCGTCCTAGCTACTTGGGAGGCTGAGGCAAGAGAATCGCTTAAGCCCAAGACTTTGAGGTTGCTGTGAGCCGTGATGCCACAGCACTCTACCAAGGGTGACGTAGTAAGACTGTGTCTAAAAAAAAAAAAATGAAACAGGGGTTCTTTTAAGCTAGTAAGTTTATGCAATCCCTTATGCTAGGGAGCTTCTCTTTGATCTCCTTAGCCCCTGCATCCCCAGATAAGGACCTGGAACATAATAATGTCCCTTCTCCTCTTCCAGTCCCACTGTCCAGGCAAGAGAGGGAAGCCCAGCTCTCTACCATTCTACCACCATCCACCAACTCCCAGCTCCCTGGCCCTCAGGCCTACAAAAGAAGCACAGGTCTGTTTGGGTTTCTACATACAGCCTATGCCCCATCAGGCCAAGGGGGGAAGCTTGACCAATCTCTACTTCCCAGGCCTCAGAGACCTTTGATCAGCCCTATCGATCTGGACTCCTGTACAGGGAGTCAGACTAATGGATGGACACCATGAGGGCTTTGCTGCTCCTGGGGTCCCTGCTGGTAAACCTGGAGCCAACACTTTCAGTGAGTGCTGTGGGAACCAGGATTGTGCCCGGAGGGTCTTGGGAATCCCTAACACAGTGTGGCCACTGCCTGTGACCTGAGTCCATGTGACTAGGAGGCCTATGTGGAAAGGTGAGGCCAGCCCTGAAGGGCCAGGCAGAGGAGACAGACAACCAGAATGGGTGGAGAGGAGGGCAGAGCCCATGTTTTGGAGGGACAGGTAGCCTTTAGGAGATGATGTAAGGTGAAGGGAGGGGTCTGGGTCTTGGGAAAAAATCTCTGCATTTCTAGGTTGTGAGAGGAAACTGGGGACTAGTATGGGATCTGGGACAAGCAATGACTTTCTGGGCAAATTCCCCGTCTTCTTGCTCACATAGCCTCCACCTTGGAAAGCCCCCAAGGAGGATAAGCACAAGGTGAATGAGCACACAGTGGGTAAGTAGCTTGGTTCCTCCTTCTAAGATACCTGTGGATACCTGAATATGGTAAGGAACGTGCAGTCTTGGGGGCAGCCTTGGGCCCTTGGATCATGGGAGGGATATTGGGCACTGTTCATATTCATCTCCAGAGTTGTCCTGGCTGGTTTTCAGACCTGAGTGCCCACTATGTGTCAGGTCTTATGCCCATGTGTGCCCGGGACCCAGAGTGATAGTAAGCTGTTTGCTCCTTGAGGGCAGGGCTCAGGCTGTGTCTGAGTGCCCAAGAGCCTGACTTGGAGTGGGTGCTTGAGGTGTGTGCTGCTGGCTCCTGCCTTGGTCTCCCAAGATTCTCCTCCTCTTTTCCTTTCCTTAATACATCTCATGGGCATCAGACATGCCAAGCAGAGGCCAGGGCCCTGGATGCACAGCGAAGGGGTCCAAATGCCTCTGAATCCTGGCTTTATCACCTAGGAGCTAGGTGGCTCTGGGTGAATGATTTGACCTCTTGAAGCTTCAATTTCCCCATCTTTAAAACCAGGCTGGTAATAGTAAGCCTCTTAGGATTGGTGAGAAGGAAAAATGAGTTGTTAATCCATGTGAGGCACTCAGCCCAGAGCAGTGTTTCTCAACCTTCCTAATGCCTCTTAATAACATGACTTTTTTTTTTAAGAGACAGAATCTCACTTTGTCGTCCTCGGTAGAGTGCTGTGGCATCACAGCTCACAGCAACCTCCAGCTCCTGGGTTTAGGTGATTCTCTTGCCTCAGCCTCCCGAGTAGCTGGAACTCTAGGAGCCTACCACAATGCCCAGCAATTTTTTTGTTACAGTTTGGCTGGGGCCGGGTTTGAACCCACCACACTCGGTGTATGGGGCCAACGACCTACTCACTGAGCCATAGGCACTGCCCAATGCCAAGACTCTTTAATACAGTTCCTCATGTTGTGGTGACCCCCAACCATAAAATTATTTTTGTTGCTACTTCATAACTGTAATTCTGCTACTGTTACGAATTATAATGTAAATATCTGATATGCACGATGTATTTTTATTGTTACAAAGGGATCACAACCCATAGGTTGAGAACTGCTGACCCAGAGCTTGGTGCATGGTAAATGCTTTAAAATGCTTTAGGCCTGATGTGGTGGCTTACGCCTGTAGTCCTAGCATTCTGCGAGTCAAGGCAGGTGGATTGCTTGAGTTCAGGAGTTTGAGACCAGCTTGAGCAAGAGTGAGACCCCCATCTTTACTAAAAATAGAAAAAAAATTGCTGGGTGTTGTGGTAGGTGCCTGTAGTCCCAGTTACTTGGGAGACTGAGGTAGGAGGATCGCTTGAGCCCAAGAGTTTGAAGTTGCTGTGAGCTATGATGACACCAGAACACTCTACCCAGGGTGACAAAGGAACTCTGTCTAAAAATAAATAAATAGAGCAGTGCATGTGGCTCAAAGGAGTAGGGCACTGGCCCCATATGCTAGAGGTAGTGGGTTCAAACCTAGCCCCAGCCAAACACTGCAAAAATAAATAAATAAATATGGCCTGGGGAGGTGGCTCATGCCTATAATCCTAGCACTCTGAGAGGCCGAGGTGGGCGGATTGCTTGAGCTCACAAGTTTGAGACCAATCTGAGCAAGAGTGAGACCTCATCTCTAAAAAATTAGCTAGGTGTTATGGCGGGTTCCTATAGTCCCAGCTATTCAGGAGGCTGAGGCAAAGGATCTCTTAAGCCCAAGATTTTGAGGTTGCTGTGTGCTATGATGCCACAGCACTCTATCAAGGGCATTAAAGTGAGACGCTGTCTCAAAAAATAAATAAATAATAAATAAACAAACCAATGAACAAATGAAATGCTTTAAACCTATTAGCTTTTATTATTTTAGATGAAGGGTGCCTGCCATTTCCCTCGTTTAGCCCTGCCATAGCTCCCCATTGCCTTTGTCCTTCCAAGCACTAAATATTTGTTCCTAAAGCATGCAGTGTACCAGAGCCTATGAAGTAGATGGACCCTGCTCTGGTGGGCCTGGCCTGGTGGGATCAAGCCCCTTGACATGACATTGAGGGCTAGCACAATCCACCTCTGGACTCCCTCAGCCTCCTCCCCTCGCCCCATACTCAGTTTCATGCCTGACCCAATCTTGGGACCCTAATCACCTACCTAAGATCCCCCTCCTCTCAGTGCACCCCGTTTGCATCTCAAAGGTCCATCCCAGATCCCTCTTGGGAGGCTGAAGCAAGAGGATCTCCCTTTACTATTCTGGCCCTGGTTTGACCCTCAGCAACTGTCACTGTGCTTTGAACAACAAATTAGCTCCAAATTATTGAGCACATACCATGTGCCAGACACTGTGCTAAAGTGTTTCACAGGCCTTACATCTCATTAAGTTTCATGATATTCCTTTGAGGTAGATACAAGCAATTCTCATTATTTGCAGTAGTTGTGTTCTATAAAGTCCCTGTAGGCTGGCACGGTGGCTCACACCCATAATCCCAGCACTCTGGGAGACTGAGGTGGGTAGATTGCTTGAGCTAAGGAGTTTGAGACCAGCCTGAGCAAGAGTGAGACCCCAGCTCTAAAAATAGCCAGCATTGTGGCAGGCACCTGTAGTCCCAGCTACTCAGGAGGCTGAGGCAAGAGGATCTCTTGAGCCCAAGAATTTGAGGTTGCTGTGAGCTATGAAGATGCCCCAACACTCTACCCAAGGCCTCAGAGTGAGACTCTGTCTCAAAAAA